TGTTGCAAGATCTTTGAGCTCCTGACAAACGAGAAGTCGATTCTGCTTCTGGTCCTCAGACAGGAGCCTTGGTTTCGCATGTGGAGTTCTTCCTTTAGAATCAGCTGACAGGTCCCAACAATGTCGCACAAGTCGTTGATGGTACGACGTCGATCTTCGTGAATGGCCTGCCGAATCTTGGTAACATTTTCGGGCGTTGTGCTCGAAGATGGTCGTCCAGAACTCTCGTCATCATCGACAGAGGTTCGGTCATTTTTAAAACGTGAATGCCACACAAAAGTTTGCGGACTCCCCAAATGCTTGCTTTAGCATTTCATAGGTTTCCGTAGCCGTTTTGGCGAGTCTTTGGCAAAATTTGATGCACACGCCATTCCGAAATCGCAGGAGGGTCGGTGTAATGCACTACCGAAACGCCCGTAACTAAGAAACAAATGCTAATTCGATGATGCCGGCTGGCATACTGATTAACTATGAATGTAGGCCGCACCCCCTAGCGGCAGAAGCTCGTACTACATCCGGCTCGCCCTCTATTGACACAGTCTTGAATCTTTCCTATCGCACCTCGTATCTAAAGATGGCTGTATTCTGGGTTGTTGCACCGTGTAGTCTGGTAGAAGCTTACCAACGTACCATAGGTCATTGCTGCCTCCATAATCAGAGCGATGAGTAATTGCTGCAACCCAGAAGACAGGCATCTTCACGTTGAACATAGTTACTTCCATGGCTGAATGATTGAACTATCTTCATTACCGCTCAAGGAAAGCTTAGTCACAAGCAGATAGAGAGAAAAAAAACATACATTTATGCAAAGAAAGATGACAGTCATAAGCTCTCTTTGCGTGTTTATAAAGTACTCCTGGAGACCTTCGTTTAAATAATACGTATATTTGCCTCTTTGAGCAGCTTTTCATCTTGTTAATAATTATCATCTTTATTCATATGCGCCCGGATAAATATTAGCACTAATATGAGGTCTTTTGTGTGTTTCAGTCAACTCAAACTGACATGTTTGTGTGGATATAATTTTGTATTTCCTCAAAATAAGAATCCAATCGAAAAAACTTTAAAGATCGTAACAAAAATTAAACTTTGCCTAAATATAGCAGTGTATTTCTTCGCATCACATGAAATTGTTCTGCCACCTTCACTCTTTATATTTAATCAAGTACACGATTTCCTTTCTTAAAGATTTAACGTTTGTTCTACCATGACCCGGGCATCAGATTCTTGTGACAAAGGGTGTACGGATTGAATATGTTAGACTGCTAGTCATTTGAATGTTAGTTTTCGTGCGGTAATTATGTTAATGTGATATGAAATCACGGAATTATACTTGTGTATATATGTTACTGGATTATTAATTGGAACTTTAATATTCAATTATATTTTGGCTCCTTGAATCTTTATATTTAATTGTTTGCATAATCGTCATTGCTTCTGATCTAGTGAAATCTTGACACAAATATATTTCACGCACATGTTATAGAAACGCGATTATTTTGGACGTTGTTCGTAATCTGAAGTATATTTAATGTGCATGGCATTTCGGGAATTGTCTGTTCCCCCACCCCCCCCCCCAGGAGTGAGTACGATGGCGTGTTCCTGTTCTCATCGCAAAGAAGACGGTAAACACACAGTGAATTCTGGTGTGGAAGCATCGGCCACTCGGATGACAGAAACAGACATAGGGAATAATATTCAAATGTGTCTTGGAGAAATAAAGCATATCACTCCCATTTTATCGCTAATTCCAATCCCCATTCTCCTCATATGAAGGTTGGGACTTTTTGTTTACTTTAAGTCCAAATCCAGAGCTGTCGAATTGATCACCCACTTTCTTTTAGTGGCAAAGTTAATGTATATCAAATCTAAAACTTCTTGACGATGGTAAAGAGTCAATTGAATAAAAATTTCCTTGGATATTATCCATCGTCTAGTAAATATATTTGGATACCTGTCATCTCTGAAGAAGTCCAAGTTGTGCATCGAGTTTCGAATTAATGTTCATGTGTATTTATTCCCACCTTTTGTGAGTTTTTTTTTTTTGGCTTTATCGTGTTTAATGAATTTTGATTTCTACATACTATTCTTTTACGTCCCACGGATGGATGGTGTGGT